GGATTGGACAAGAAATATCCCCGAGATCTCCCTTGATGAGCCTGTAAGGACAAACAAATCATGGCTGTCCTGGGTCTGTAGCCATACCACGTCACAGGACATTCTCCGAATGCCTATTTGGGGGGCAGGAGCATGTCTGCTGTGACTTGGCCCATTAGCTCTGCATGCCACATCATCAAAATGTGTCTGTGCATGTCTGTGTGTGCTCCAGCCTTCCTAGAAGGGGTATCGAGTAAGAATCCTGACTGCCACAGTATGAGGATAATGGTAGTATCTCCATGGCAACCGACTTACTCTCCCCGTACCTTGGTTTCCTCATCTGTGAAATGGGGATAATGGGAGAGACTGCTTCACTGGCTTGTTGTCAGGTTAATACTGTAAAACACTTAAGACAATATTTTGCACATAGAAGGCACTCAGTAGATGTTAGCTATTACTACTACTACTACTATTACCACCTTAGAAGGTGTCTTAGATCAAGTTCGCCAGAAGCAGACCTTGAGAGGGGATTCCTGGCTCAGTGATTTCCTAAGGTAGTGCTCCCCGGGGAACTGGGGACGAGACAACAGGAACTGGGGGATGGGAGAGGAAGAGGCCGACAAGGGTGCAGCGGATGGCTTCAGCCAGGATCCTCCCCATGAGAGATAAGGGAGATGGGACCTTGCTCGTCTGCACCCCAGTCATTGGCTAAGGGCCACTTTGGGGGGTGTAAACTTCCAGGTACGTTGGGTTCTGCAGACAAAGCGGCTCCTATAGCCTGGGGCCGTCACCCACGGAAGAGTGAACAGAAGGGAAAACCACAGAAGGTGGGGGAGGCACCCAGGCCCGATACAGAGACCTGGGGGAGCCTGGGAGACCCGAGGGTGGCACCCACAGTCCCCTCCACTGAGACATACCATGAGGAACAAATGAGCAGGGCCTGTACGTGGCAGCCCGTGGTCAGTGGTAGCTCCAGTCTGTCTGCCTCACCAGCCATAGGTTGCTTTCGGTCCCAAGGCGGGGATTCCTTAGGGCCTGGGAGGGCCTAGGCAGGCCCAGAGCCTCATCTGTTTGTATAGGACAGTGACTCCCGCTCTGATCGAGGAACCAGCGAGAAGAGCCTGCCTACTCTGGCTGCCTCAGCGAGGCGGTAGGAGCCCTGCCAGCCCTGCCAGCTGACACAGCCTGCCCTGGATCTGCCCCCAGATGCTGGGAAGGAGGGAGAAGCCGTGTCAACGTTGACAACCACATGTTTCCCCTCCCGGACACCCTGCACCTGCTACTTCTTCCCTGCCCTCTGCCTGATTTCTGCTGCCCATCCCACTCACGTGGGCAGTCCTGCCCTGGGCATCCCCAGGCCCCACGGTGCCAGGCAGCTCTGACCGGGTGTTCCCCGGGGGAGATGCCCGCCTTGGTATCAGACGGAATACTGGAGAACATGACAGGCCCAGCAAAACTGGCTTTGTGAAAAGTCCAGACCCTCCTGGAAAACTCCCTCGGCCAGGGAGGCAGTGGCAGGAAGGCTGCCTGCTGGGGGTAACTCTAGAGGGAACGCCCCGCCGAGGATCACCAGAATAACCTAGTATCACCTACCATGTGTCATCACTATGTTTCAAACGGATCCCTCCGTAGGTACCATTTTATTTAAAACCTGCCACAGGCTGTGAGGTCACTCCTCTTAAGGCCCCCCTTACACTCGCGGGAGCCAAGTTTCAGACTAACTGACACCGTCAGCCCTTGGCCACCCTCTCTCCACAGTGGCTTCTGCTCACTCAGGATAAAAGCCTCCAGCCTCACATAGGCCCCCACGTCTTTGCCTGACCTGGCTTCCCAGGTGTCCCAACCTTCCCTCCTCCCATCCTCCCCTCGTTGTCCCCACTCAAGCCCACCAGCTACGTCTTGGCTGTTTAATTTGTGGCACACTAGCTCCTGCCTCAGGACCCTTGCACGGGCTGCCCCCTCTGCCTGGCAGGCTCTGCCCCCAGCTGCTGTGACTCTCTGTCTCTTCACGTCAGAGCTTCACGTCTCTGCCCCATCGTCACCTTCTGTCCCCCTACCTGCATTCTCTATTTCCTTTACTTTGCTTTCTTCTTATTTATTTATTTTTTATATATATTGATTTATGTATTGCCTGTCTCTGTTCACTAAAACACAAGCCCCGTGATGGCCATGATTTGCCTCTGGTTCCCTGCTGTTTCAGGTCCTCTATGGGTGTGACAGGCAGTCCGTGCTCCATAAACATGTGCAGAATGATTGAAAGGTGCCAAGACTTGGCCTCAAAAGCTCCGACCATCCGGCATCTTAGGGTTGGCAGAGGGTAGCCGACGAGACCCTGCCGAGCCCCGGGTCTGTGGTTCTGTGCAGGCTCTCTTTTCTCACAGGCAGAGAGAACAGAGGACAGTGATCTTCAGGAGAGTTTGGCCCCAGGCATGTCCCCTCCTGTGCCCAGTTCTGTTCTGTGTGGCCACGAGTAGCCTGCCTCGGGCCCTGTTGCAGCCTCCTTCTCTGGGCGGCTCTGTCCTTGGCCAGCTTGCGTTCGCTTCCTTCCTCTTGACTCTGAGGCCTGGGGGAAATGCTGCCCTTTCTCTCTCAGCCTTGGATCCTTCCCGAGTTTTCAAGTCCAGAGGAGCTCAGCTGCCTTTAAACTCCACATCTAGAATTTCCCCCAAAAGGCCTCCTGCATCATCTGAATACTTGTTCACTCAAAATAATACTAACCAAGCATCTTGTATGTGCCAGGCACCCAGGCAATGGGGGGAAGGACCCAATTTCCAGCTCTGTGTCGCTGCCAGCCCGACCTGGCCCAGGAGGCCTTATAATGGGCGCCTGGAGCAGAAGGGGCTTGGGATACTGAGGCAGGGCCCAGAGCTGTCCTCCCTTTACTCTGCTTTCCTGCCAAGAATGTAGGGACAGGAGAGGGAGCCCTGAAAGGCAGCCCCACCCCACATCTACTCCCTTGGGGGAGAGAGGCAGCTTCTTGGGTCAGCTGGGTGGAGAGCCAGTCTTTCCGAGGAGGGAGAGCCAGCCGGGCATTTGGTTTGAGGGAGGCCTGCCAGCCTGCATCCTCTTCCTCGAACTCAATTCTGAGAAAGCCTTCCCTCTCCTGTCTTCCCCTGTCCCCCAGATGGTGACCTCCTTTCCCCCCTGAAATGCCGAGCTCCTGCCCAGGGCACCTCCTCCAGGAATGCCCAGGATCCATGGCAGGGGTCTGGTTTCCCCCAACCCCCCATGTCTCCCCAGGAGAGAGGTGGGCAACTTCACCCCATGCTCTCAGAACCCAGGCCACAGGCTGCCACCTGCCCCTGCCCCACATGTACACAGGCTTCCTCATTCCAAGAACTCATAGACATTAGGCTTCTGTCCAGGTTTTTCCACGTCTTCACGGGCCACTGGCAACAAATCCTGGAAGGGAAAGAGAAATGAAGGTCTTCACCAGGCCAGCAAATCAGCGTCATGAGTATCCTGAGGAGGGACCCTGAGGAAGGGTAGCTACTCAAAACAGGCAAACCCACAAAAAGAGTCCCAAGTCTGGTGGGGTCCGTATGGCAGGAGTGGTATCTGGGCCTGATAAAAATCTCTAAAGGGCATCAACAGTTGACCATGAACTTCCTCTCTGGGCCTCAAAATCCTAGAAGGGTCCCCGAGTGGGTAGCAGTAGGATGCTTAATGTAGCCCCCTGAATGGCCTCGGGGATGCCTCCCCACCACTTCCTCCAGGAACAGGGGCCTCACCTGCAAGGCTGAGCTGGCACTCAGCAAGTTAGCCCTGCTGGGGAGTGCCCCCCTCCTGCCCCATCCCTTGCTCTTCAGGCTCCGTTCTGTCAGAGGATGTATTTAAGTTCCATATGGCAGAAGCCCTAGCCCTGTCTGGTGGGCCTTCAGTGCATGCACCTTGAGCCCTTACTGCCTTCTCCTTGGATGTTGGGACCCCCACCCCGACCAAGATGACCTCAGGGGTAGGACCCCACGCCCAGGAACAAGAGGCACCATTGGCAGCCGGTGGCCCGAGTTCACATCTTACATCCAGCCCATTCTAACTGTGTGACCAGAGTCACATGCTTCACCCTTCTCTGCCTCAATTTCCTCCTCCGTAAAATGGATGAAATGACAGACCTATTTCATATGACTGTGGTGAACTTAACTGGAATAATCCATGCAAAGCACTTAGAACAGGCCAGGCACCAAGTAGGTGCTCAATAAATATCACCAGTTGGTGTCCTGTCACCTGTTGACATTCCATCCTGAGCTGTGAAGGATTCTGGGATTGGGTCCAGGTAGGCTTTCTCCCCAAGATGACCTGATCCTTCAGGAGATTCACTAGGAGAAGGGGGCCCTCACAGCTGCCTCCAGGCCCCTGGGGGTTGTGGCTACTCTGGAAAGCCCCGACTCACCACACTGTTTGGATTGGGTTTCTATTCCCAACACCGGTGAGAGGCCTGCTATTTATGGCCCCCCCATCCAACCCCCTGGTCGGCCAGACAGTGCGTGGGCTGGGGACCACATGGCTGGCAGCCTGCTACCCCCACCCCACCCAGGCTCTCTGACCGGGGCATGTTTCACACGCTGGTCAGCCTGCTGGCTCAGCCGTAGCTTCCACAGCTCTGTCTGGCCCCCCAAGGGGAGAAGCAGAGATGGCGGGGACATGAGGGGTCATTGGTTTCTCCATCCCGGCCTCTGGGTTCTAGAAGGTCTCTTTGAGGGGAGGTGGGTTCTTGGGGCCCTGGGGATAATACACACATACCTCTTTCTATTTCCACCCTAAGAATGACACATTCTGCTTCTTGTAGCGTCTAGTTGGTTAAAACATGGGCTCTGGAGCCCAACTGCCTAGGTTCAAGTCCTCCTTCGAGCCCTCATTAGCCACCCTGCGCTAGTGCCTCAACCCCTTTGTGCCTCAGTTTCCTCAGTTGTAAGATGGAGCTAGTGCTCTCACCTTTGCCACAGGCCATCATGAGGGTCAAGGGGACTGGGGCAGGTCAAGTGTTGAGCACTGGATCAAAGTCGCTCTTCTTATTCCTGCAGGGTCTGGTGCGGGATGGCAATCCTGGCCTTCTTCACGTGGCTCCTGCTCCTGGACCAGGCGGGCTTGCTGTCCCCTCTGTGCAGATGGAGAAGCTGAGTCCTGAATGGGGGAAGGGACTTTGCCAAGGCCCCATACCTCGTGGAGCACTTCCCAGCCTACCGGCTGCCTCTTGATCTTTAACCGCTAGAGTCCTATCCCTGCCCCCCAACAAATAGATAAGGAGCTCCCAGCAAGAAAAGGTGGGTACCCTGACAGGTGTGCGTCCAGTGGGAGCCAGGTTGAGCTCACCCCCTGGGCCTGCCTGTCCCTTGGCCAGTGCCTCCAGCCTGCCTCCTCAGGACAGGGGCTATTTTTAGCATGTGGTGTTTGCCGGACAGTGGGGGATATTTGCAAAGGGTCAGTCTGCTGGCGTCCTTTGATTTCCAACTGGAAACAGCTCTCGGATGTGCAGCTGATTGGCTGAGAGCATGAGGCTTTGGCGAGCCTTTTCTCTTCTTTACAGAATGTGGCCGTTTCTCCTTCCCGTCCGCCCTCTTGCCAAGCCCACAGCTTCTGTTCCTGGCTCCCCGCCGCCAAGATGGTGACAGCTTTCCCAGGTCTGGTGGGATGAGCAAATTGGACAAAGTGTGGTTTCCTGGCCCTGGCCCGGCATCTTCCCTCCACTAATAAACCTGTGGCTAACCATCCGTGGCCTCGCGCTCCATGGGTTAGAGTACCACGCCAACAAGGCCAAGGTCACACTTTACCCCAACCAGGCCGACATTGCAGGGAGGTATGCTCTGTCTCATGGCCTTGGCCTGCCCCCCTTGCCAATGCAGCAGGGGCTGGGGGCAGGCCGGGGAGGGCTGCGGATCAGGGAGAATGTGTGTCGGTGTCTCTCTGCCCCCAGCCCCTGGAGGGCCTGACCGAGCTGGTCCACCTGCCCACCAATGGGCAAGGCATGGAGCCAGGCACTTTCCTACGTGAAGGTTGGCACGTATGTTGGTGGGAAAACACTGAAGACCAAGAGAGTGCCAGGCTGGCAGGCACCAGGCTACTGAGTTAGCCTTCTGAATTGGTTGGGGAGGACTCTGGAGAGGCAGCTGAGTGGCAGAGTATGATGGTTAAGTGAACAAACTGTGAGGTTCATTCAAATCCCTGTGGGACACTTAGTGGCCACGGAGTTATGGAAGGACTCTGTGCCTCAGTATCCCCATCTGTAAAATGGAGATACTCATAGACCTCTCACAAGGATGAACTGAGCTAAGGCTTGGAAGCACTTAGCACAGTAACTACTATGTAAGTGTTAGCTCTGGTCATCATTGTCGTATCTCAACCTCCGACACCTGTTCCCTGGCCGCTGTACCCCTCCGCTCTGGCCCGCTATCCCCCCGCCCCCACTCCCTCCCTCAGAGTAAGCTGAACCAGTCACTGGCCCCAAGGCCCTTGTGTGGTGGAAGCCCGGGTCACCTAGATGGCCCCCACCCCACCCCCGGGAGGCCAGGTGAATGGGGTAGCCAGACCCCAAAGGGGTCTTGCCCTCACCCCTGCCAGAAAGAAGCTCCGTGTCCTGGGAACAAGCTGGCACGGGGCAGGTGCCTTGCTCTGCTCCTGTAGCTGCTGCCCAGGAGGGCGCGGCCCCTGAGCTCAGGTCTATAAATAAGGTATCTGGGAGGAACGGCTTTAATTTGCACTCTACCTATTGGTGTTTACTTTGCTATTTCCAATATGGTAATTTAATTCTGCAGGGCGCCTGGCGGGGGGTGGGGGTGGGCGGGGGACACCTGGGACGTGCGGATACCTGACCGCACCAGGAGTCACTCCTGTGTCCCTGTGCAGCTCTGGACACAGATGCCCCAGGGATAGCCATGGTCTGTGGGGACCCCAGGTGGAGGCACGGCATGGAGGGGCTGGGCTGGATATTGAGACCCTTCTGTACCCAGACCCACAGTTCTCCCCTCTCCATTTGGCTTGTTCCTGAACAACGGCGCCAGCATCTCCCTTCCCTACTGCCTCCACGTCCCTCCTTGCCTCGGATCAGGGCCTCTATCTCTGCTGAGATGACTGCCCTCCTCCAGCCACCTGGGAGCTCTCTCCAGGCTTCTCTGATGGCCATATGGCTACTTCTGATACAGCCTTTGAGGACGTTCCCCCCAGCTGCTTCTTGTGTTTTACATTTTTTTATTTTGTCTTTTCTGTAAGATTGTGGGCTCCCTGCAGGCAGCGCTGTGTCTCCCCCTCAGACTGGGGCTCCCTGAGGGTAGGGCTGTGTCTCCCCCTCAGACTGGGGCTCCCTGAGGCAGGGCTGTGTCTCCCCCTCAGACTGGGGCTCCCTGAGGGCAGGGCTGTGTCTCCCCCTCAGACTGGGGCTCCCTGAGGGCAGGGCTGTCTCCCCCCTCAGACTGGGGCTCCCTGAGGGCAGGGCTGTGTCTCCCCCTCAGACTGGGGCTCCCTGAGGGCAGGGCTGTCTCCCCCCTCAGACTGGGGCTCCCTGCGGACAGATCTATGTCTCCCCTCAGACTGGGGCTCCCTGAGGCAAGGCTGCATCTCAGAGAACCAGCTTTTCCCTCAGATTAGGGGTCTTCCGAGGTATAAGGCTATTTCTGTCCTTTGGTCCGGTCTCCCCAAGGGCGGAGGGTGAAGGGCTCCTATTTCACGTCTGTGTTCCCTTTTCTCTCCCTTTCCCACAATTCCCAGGGTGTATGACCCCAGGAGGGCTTTGGCCCAAGTGTATTCCCTCTGGTCGGGACCGTTCTTTAGGGCCACCAAGAGTGCCTTTGCCCTACCCTCACTGAGTGGCAGCACTGGTCAGTGGGACCACATTATGACTTTTCTGGGCCATAGGCACTTTTGCCTTTGTGAGCCCCTTCCTCCACAAATGCCAAAAATTATGTTTTATAACTGTGTTGGAATAAAGACAAATATATCCATATTATATATGAAAACATTTTATTTGACTTAAAAATCATTTTTTCCTTTCCATTTTAAAATAAGTTAAAACATCGGGGCGCCTGGGTGGCTCAGTAGGTTACACATCCAACTTGGTTTCGGTTCAGGTCGTGATCTCAGGTTCATGAGATTGAGCCCCGCGTCGGGCTCTTCACTCAGCATAGAGTCTACTTGAAATTCTCTCTTTCCCTCTGCCCCTTCCCCCGCTGTCACTCACGTGTGCTCTCTCTCTCTCTCTCTCAAGATAAATAAATAAAATCTTTAAAAAAATAAAACACTTTCATGGACCCCTAAATGTCTTATGGGCTAACACTGTGCCCTACTCTGGGCAGAGGAGCCTGCGTGGACCAGGAGGTCAGCCATCTCCGGCTGGGACGCCATTCCCATCCTCACAACATCTGTATGAGCCAGGCGGGCCAGAATTCCTATCCCACACCAACCGCAGGGCCACGGCTACTGCTTCGGGCAAGGCCACGGCAGGGACCCCGTCAGTGGCGCGTTGCTCCGTGCCAGGCGCTGCACTGAGCACGCGGTCCCCTTAATCTTATCTAATCCTCACAGCCATCCTATGAGGCAGGCACTGTGATTTTTTTTTCCCATTTCACAGATAAGGAAAATGAGGCTCAGGGGGAAAAAGTGACAGGTTCAAGGTCACCCAGCCAGTCAGTGACAGGGTGGGAATGGAGGACCCAGAGGTCCTGGCCTCCGGAAGTCTAGGTCCTTCCACGGCACAGAGGGTGAAGGGTGCGGCGAGGTGTAGCTTGGGGTCAGCCACAGAGATCGGTTCTGTTGTCTGCAGGCGGGTCGGAAGGAAGGTGGCACGTACCTGCCCTAGAATTACCTGCTTGCTCCAGCCCCATGTCCTCTCTGGCTTCCAGCCCCCAGGGGCTTTTTTGCTAGGGGTTATAGACTTGATCCCATGGTGGAGAAGGGGTGTGGGGATTCCCGATGAGGTGCCCTCCACCCGTCCCCCTGGAGGTCTGCTAGCTTTCAGGCTCTCGTCCCTCCCCTTCAAGTCACCTTGTCCCAGAAGCTGCCTGGGAGCCTCACCTGGGCTGGGAGCCGCGGGTTGGGAGGGTAGGGGCTAACCTCCAGCGTGGCATGGGGGGTGAGCTCAGCTGGGGGGGCAGGACTGACGGAACCCTGCTCAGTGAGGGATTCAGGGTGCTCAGGGCCCTGCCTGCAGCCTCCGCCCGGAGCCAGGATGCCCTCCCTTGCCTTGCTGGCCCATCTCCACATCCCTAGAGCTGTCTGCCTCTTTCCTCCTCTTTGCTCTTCCTTCTTTATCTCTGGCCTGGCTTTTTTAAAAAAAAAAAATCCATCTCTCTCTCTTTTTATTTTTTGCCTGTCAATCTCTCCTTCACATTCTTGTCTTCGCCCCGTTCCCCTCTCCCTGTCCCTTTCTACCCCTGCCATCTCCGAATTTCCTCCCTCAGCATCTCCTCCTCTGCCTGTCTGGTAGGCTCCTGCTGTCGGGCTCTCCTCGCTGGTTCTGTCCACCTGTTTCTCTCCCGCTCTCTGTCTCCGAGAGCTTCTCCTCCTGCACCGGCAGTCTCTCTGTCATTCCACGTCACTCTTTGTCTTTCTCCCTCTCCCACATGACTGGTGCCTCTCTCGGCAGGGACAACACGTTCCACGGTCTCATTACCCAACAAAGGTGGTGAGACCGTGCATGGGGGGGATATTACTCGGGCACCTGGCCCCTCGGCCCTGCTGTGCGTGTTGTGGAGGGAGGGGAGGCCTAGGAGCCGGTGGAGTGTGGGCGCCCACCACCGCCCTTCGGGGCGGCGGGGGGGGCACTCTGCTCCCTAGCCCTGGAAAGGAAGCAGGGAAAGTCCGTTTGTGCAGACTGGCTCCACTTGGCTTTTAAGCAGCATGTCTTTCTTCCAAAGCCAACCCTTTGATCCCCAGAGACAGAAAAGGAGCCATCTGCATTTGTGTTGGGACAGGTAGTGGAGTGGGGGCGGGCAGGGGAAAGAAAGGGGGAGGGCAGCAGACATCTGGGGGATGCTCAGAGGGGCCACACCAGGCCTCTTGAGCCCCGTATTTGAGACCCACCTCCGTGCCTTCTTGGCTGGGGGAACTCTCTGTCAATGGGCATATATAATAACTAACTAAATGGGCAGTTTTCAAGATCAAATAAGATGATGTGTTGTAACAACAACAACAACAAAAACCAGTAAAGGGACTTTGAGGGGTTTGGTGTGGCCAAGAGCAGAGCCACGCCCTCTCTAAGTGACTGCCAGGGCTTACTTTTATTTTTTATTTTTTATTTTTTTTTTTTTTAAAAGATTTTATTTATTTATTTGCG